GAGCACGCACTTTGTGTACTTTTTGTTTATTTTAAAACGAATGAAATAAAATAAGATTTTCTAACAGAACAGCTTTATACCTGTGAAAGAAATAAAATGTTAAACACAACAATATGAGAAATAAAATAGAGTTCTTTCTAAATTGCTTTTTGTTGGTTCTTTTCGACGACTAACTTTTGTCAGATTTACCGTCATCACAACACCCCTTTTTATGATCACCACTATGCATTGCCGAGCCACTACCAACCGAGCCTTTTAAATCTTTATGATACTGGTTATCGTGACCGTGATGCGGTGCATGATCTTTTTCGTCATGTTTATGCTCACATTTACCACTTGTACATTTGTCATCGTGTTTCTCAGTTTTATCGCCATGCTCGTGATATGGTTTACCTGAAAACAAAGAACAAACACTTTAAAGTTACACAAAACACTACATTATTTTGGTGCTTTTTAGAACAAATTTGCCACAGTACAAAGCAAGTTAACATGCGTCTCCTTACTCGTCATCTAAATATTATCGACAATCGGGAGCACCCAGAACATTGAATCTTTCGGTATTCATTCAATTCTAGTCTTCCTGAGGATAAAGCTGGTATTTCATATTGGTAGAAAATCTACGATTGACCCGCGAAAACGTGCACTGACTTCTCCTCAACTGTCTGAACCGTACAAGTTAAACGAATCTTACCTTCTGAATTTACATCACTACCAAAGTTTTTGAGAGTGCCAGTTACATTTGAATGAGACATTATTTTGTTTTATCTTTTGCTTGTAAATTTAAGGTTTTATGTTTAGTCACAGTAAGTATAAATCTAAAAAATAGAGCAGCACACGTCATATATATATATAAAGAGAAAGAGAAGAAAGAAAGAAAGAAAGAAAGGAAGGAAGGAGAACAAGGAAATATGTAAGATCGAGAATGTTTTAAGTATTTTTATCGAACATTTGAGATGATGTTTGTTAGAGAACGTGAAAAAATAGACAAGAACAAAATAAGGTTCTTTCTCTCTGTACAGTAGAACAAGAACGAGTCCCACTTAAAAAAGTTATAAATATTGTTATGGGAAATTGGCATTGATGCAAC